CCTAAATCTAACAAAAAGCGGTTATTCATTCAAACTAGTGGAAAAAATATAAAGCAATGTATGAAAGTTGAAAAAGCTGTTCAATCTGATAGAACAGGAATACAAAACCCTATATTCAAATGAAAAATCAGGTCAAAACAAGTAAAAATCAAAGAAAACCCTAAAGTTACCTTTCTTCCTGAGTTCTGGCTTTCCCTTCTTGACTGAAGCAACAAACATGTCACCAACTCCTGCACTAGGAAGCCTGTTCAATCTTCCACGAATGCCATAGACTGCGATAACAAAGAGGTTTTTGGCTCCAGTATTGTCGGCACAGTTAATCACGGCTCCCACTGGTAAACCAAGAGAGATACGGAACTTGGCTCCAGATGCTCCACCGCGTCCTCTCTTGGACATCTTACCTGATGGTAAGTCATACTACAGAAAGAAAACGTAGTTGCAACGAAAGCTATGAACGAATCCTAAACGGCAAATGAGAAACGCAGGCATGATGAAAGACAATTTCAATAAGGAAAAAAGACAAAGATCATGCAGGCCTACGAGCACAGCACCAAAAATACATGTGCCAAAGGAGAAACAGATTTCTGCACCCGAAAAACCACTGGAAAAGCACAAAATCTTTTCCATCCAATCGAAGATCTATAAAATGCAAAAGTATACTGATAGTAAATTAACTTTCAGCGTTTATAAAAGCGTCTATGTCAAAACTGGCCGAAAATATCGAATACTCAGCCAGGGAAGAGCATTCGTGCTGGGACCAGCTGCTGCGGCAGCCAATGGCGAACAGCTCACATAATGAAAATTTTTTGTAAAAGTCCTCAAATTGTGAAGCATATAGAGTAATGGGCGAAGTGCATCATTATGTAGGTGTTTATGACTTGGAAATGTGGATGCGCGCGGTGCAACGTTCTGTGCCTAGAGGTTTTGGAGAAAGAAGTGAAAAGACAAGGCCTGAGATTGTTAGATTCGCGCATATTCGAGTCAGGCACTACCCCGTAAGGGATTTGGAGATATTCTCCGAATGACAAGCATCGGTGAACACTTTAATGATCTCATTTGCATCTGTTTTGATTCACAAAGCAAGTATTCGAAAATAAGTCGTCCTATATGCAAAGTGATCTACCATCGGCTCCCAGATTGCCGCGAGGGCGGTCGTG